AGCCAAAGGTTGCAGAAAAAATGAAAAAGAATTTTTTTACCATTGCTTTAAGCAATATGTATGACCGTAACATAGCAAACACGAAATTGTGAACAATGAATTTTGGCTTATTTATGGCCTACTTCAGAGGCTAGAAAGACCCACTACCGGAAGGCCACTACCGGAAGCTCCCCGTCGAAATATCAAATAGACCTACAAAAGCCACTGTAAATTGCATATTGTATAATTGTAGATCAATAAATCATTGTCTCAAGTCTTGCTTATGAGCTGAACAATTCTGACATCCGCACTGAAAGGGAAGTGGTGAGACTTCATCGAAAGCCGAACTCGACCAACAGAATAACGAAAACGTTTTGTAACCTCTAACAGTGAGCACAAACTGTCAAAAGAAGTGAGTTGCCAAGCCATAATTTTTTTCCGAGGGCACAGGAAACGGTTTGACCCTCATAGGTGAGAACAAGCCAGAAACAGCAAAATATGATACACTCGTTCAGCGACAAGAGGTGGGCGTTCACATGTAGGAGCGAGGTAGTGAGTGTATTTGCTTCGCCGAATCAGGTAGCGCGGGTGACAGAGGGCATACCCTGACGATCTCCATTGCGTGCACACCATCACTGTACGCTCCAGCGTCCTCTACAGCGATCGGATATCCGGTATAGTAATTGACACGCATAGAAGTTGGTAGGTAGGCGTGAGGGATAAATGGCGCCTCGATCAACACTTCAACAAATCCTCTTCTAATGATCGGACTCAATCCAAGCGAACCTGGTATTTCCCATTATTTTGAGAATAATCAGGAATTATCATGGTACGGGTCCATAAGGTATTATAAAAACAGACAGGAAAGCGCACTAGGGAAAGGGGCGACAGATAGACTGGATTCTACTTCCGGGATCATTGCTCCAGTAGTATCTATAGGTATTACAACAGAAAAAAATAATACTGCTCTGCAGATAGTACACATCAGCTTCAATATTGATCAATTTTCCTATGTTAGTAATTTGTCTTTTCATTATCTTTATTATATATTTCTATATTTAATTTATGTTTAGTTATAGTTATATTTTCTACCAATTATTCGAATTATTTAGGGCAAATTCCTTTGTTTTCGAGTGAACACTGTTCCCTACCGAAGGCGGGAAATTCAAATTTCCCGCCATCTTTGTTTCTGTCGCTGGCCGAATAAAATGCTATGATAGCTTGGTGATAGGTTCGGTCAAAACAGTAACCATTCAGAACATCTGCAAGTTTTTTATTGGTAGAATCAATGAAATAGATCAATGATGTAAAATCAATAGAACAGATCAATCAATTCAAACAGATATCAATTCAGAAGTTGCTATAGCGTTAACTCGTGTCCATCGTTAGGCCTTCTGGAAGTAATTTTCCTAACTCGATCTTCAAAGTGACGCCTTTAAACTAATTTTTCAATTTTTTCAAAGTCATAGATTTATGTGAGAAAAGTTTTAGCGGGTTTTTCTATATGATATACTGCCGTCAATAGCTGCACAGCAATTATGGATGGTATCTGGTGTGTGCTGTTTTCCAGCGCATTGCTATCGCAGACAAGCGAGATTTGGAAACCAAACCAGGGTCAATCACTGTGTTCGGCAAATTTGCGCGCCAACCCCCCCCCTAGAAGGATCTATACATTTTCACATTTTCCCTACGGTAACTCTCCCATGAAAGCTTTATTTCTAAAAAAAACCCGGAAATACGAGAAGAGGTGGGGGATGGTAGTTTCTCGTCATTTCTCTCAATCTCAAAACAATGATCGTATCGAAAAATACGAATATATATCTCCGAAATTTCCAAAATCACTGCGCAATTCCTTTATAATCGGAAATTACCTAGTCGGATCCTGATTTTAGCTTATTACCTACACATTACAACATATAAAAAATAATGCAATAATATACAACTAAATAAATGAACGAATAAAAGATAGAAAAATATGGAAAGATATACCATAGCCAACTTCGATCGAAATTTCAGCATACGCCGCGTAACCGAGATCCGCTCAGATTAGCGTAATCATTTGAAGGCGCACTTGGCCGAACTTGGCTTACTTAACTGGATCCGTTAGCGTTCAGATAACCATTTTTCAGCAATGGGTCCCTGAATTCTATCATTTAGTGAAGAATTGTCAGGCTAGAACAGGAGGCACAACAGAGTGACATATCGTCACCTACTGCAGCATCGCCTATGCTGAAAGTGATGATGATATTGATATTATGGGACTGGAAACATATAGCAATCGAAATCGCGTTACACATATATATCCCTCCCTGTATGCGTTTGTATTTATTGTTTATTTTTATTTTATTTGTGTTTTGCTTGGCCTGATTAGGAAAACCCCAAACGATGAAATACATAATTAGTTGAGGTGGGTTTTATCCCGTGAACTACCTTGAGCATATGAGTAATGCAACGGTCTGTCAAATACCCCTGAAGAGAAACAGAATAATAAACGATAAGCGGACCAGATTTCATACCGATCAAAAGATATAAAACTTTCGGCGTTTGTCAGCAACTTCTGGAGTAGGCCATGCATCCACTTCCATCCAGAAAAGTTGGGCTATTTGAGTGATTTGGCCTAGGCAATGACTTTATGGAACAAGTCGATGAATAGATTAGGAGATACACTGCCAGTCAAGTCCAGTGCCAACTATGCGACCCGAAGATGCGAAGCGCTTAGTTGCCCAGGCGCGGTTCCAATCTAAGATTTGGCCCGTGAGGGTGAGAAGTGATACCCACCACTCTCGAGGGACTTTCTAACGTGCAATTTATGATTGTTTCCCTCATTCTACGGTCGTGGCATCGATATTATACTTTTAACAATTGAAATAGACGATTGGAGTGGCTACACCACCTTTTCATATTCACTCATCAGGATGGATCCATGAGTAATTGCTGATTCCATGAACCCGTGAAGCTTGCCCAAAAACGGTGTTTGTACTGTTCTCGCCATATCAGGCGTGTAGAGGAACCTAACCGTCGTGCAAAACAGGAGCGATGGTTCCACACGAGCTGTATCGACGCCTGCTCGCAGGACACGTGTAAACATCTGCCAAAATTTCCTTTCAAAAGTCACGTTTCGGCTAGCTCGACAAATGGTCAGCGGAGATCCGAAACTGGGTATGTTGCCCTAACCATACAATATGGAAGGCATAGGACAGCAGCCGGAGTCTCGAACGGCGACTGACTCATTGTGAAGAAGCTTTGTTAATCCCTCAGTCTTTCGAGTGTTCCTAGAACTGACTGCAGAAACGCCACCTAGCAAATGCATCATCTTAACGAGGGAAGAGGAGGCCTAAGGATTGACTCTCTTTCTACATTTGAACTGAATATCACTACGTACCAACTCAAATTCAGTGTATGCCACAATTGATGAAGAACACCCTAAAGTCTTGAACAAATTCAAAATAACCTTCACATGGGGAATGCACCCAGCCAATCTGTGACGGCCACGAGCTTATCCCGCCAATCTGTTTTTATTTTGGATTTTTTCATCAACTGGTTTTGTTTTGCTCCCACAACACAGCTTCCAAGTGACACCAAATGACGTCATGGGAAAGCGCTCCGCCAGCAATCGTATTCACGCATTAAAATTTTTAACATAATCCCGAGTGGAAACGAGACAATAAATCGTACTATGTATGAACTAAACTAAATCGGTAGGTAATCCAAGATAGTTCTTCTTTCAAGTGCTTCCAGGCAAAGGCTTCCTGAAGTGAAACCCTAAAGTAGTGATCCGGCAAGCATACGGTATCTTACCGACTTTCGTAGGGCCGAAATTGTCAAACAACACTGGGGCAATGAACATGGGGTACAGACTGCTTTTTCGGCTCTGTAAATATGCAAAATAATTGAGGTTCCTGTTTTCAATAGGAGGATTTTGTGGTGAGTGAAACTGTTTTGTTATTTGCGTGACCTTCGAGGCAGTCGATCACGGTCCTACTTTTCGGATCCAGTGTATGCTACCTTACCTACCCACAATATGTTTTTGCACTTCGAATGCCACTTCGGTCCATTTACCATGACAAATGGCCACTAATCGTGAGCCTGAAATCGTTTTGAAAACGACCGCGGCAATACACCTTCATCCTGAAGGCAGCCCAGGTAAGACCTTATTTTCTATCTCTAGCACAATTGTCACCAGGCCGTAAAGGAGGGGCGGGAGCGGTGGAGGGTGTTTCATTTTCCACACCTCCAACTATCCCTAGTAATCCCACCTATAGTCCCTCAAACCTCATAATCCGCTCCCTCCCCACAAGGATATCTTGCCTGGTAATCACTCTGGGAAAAAGGGAAAATGTGGTTATCGCGAGTTAGAGCGTACGTGTTCACCCAGTTACTCCAGGTTTTGTGATGTTCGTCTTCAAGACCTTCACCTTGCCCTGAAGACGCCAGAGCCACTTGCTGCACTGGCGCTTGAGTACTGTGTTCTCTCCAGAAGCTGTGCGCAACCAGAGGCAGTCAGTAGCTGGTTGTGGACCTGAAGTCGTAAAACAAGGCTGAAATTCATGGCTATTGAGGACACAACCCACATTTGTAATGAGCATGGGAGAACTTTAACACTGAAACTCATCCGTCATAATGCGATTCTATCCAACATTGCTTTAGCCTGCGTGATCCTAACCTATTTAGGAATGAATATTGAAATAAAGTATGGTTCATGTTATGAAGGTAAAATCGGAAGAAATAGAGCAAGTGAAACAGAAATAAAAAATTGTTGATTCGAAGAATGAGAAGCTTTGAAAATATACATGAAGTGTCGATGAATCGCAATTGCAAGAAACTTCTATGTTTCCAAATGCCTACTTAGCTTTGTCTAGTCTGATACTATGTGTTCTGAGTCAAACTAAATATTTGAAAAGCATTTCGCATATAAAAGCACATCCACGCTTATCCGTAGAACCGCTAACCTCATTTTTTTCCTGCCTTAACAAAACAAAAAACTATTTTCATTTCTCAACAAAAGAGCCATCTTACAGGTCATGATCGCTCTCATCCTCCTCGGACTATTGCTCGGTGTCCACGCGAAAATAGTTTCAGTGGATGTAGAAGGAAAGTTCGTTTGCAAGCCAAAGTCCGACGCTGCAGTCTACGTTGAACTGAAAGAGCGAGATTGTGCGTTTCCGTTTTCTTCAAAAAAAAACCTTTTTCACACCCTTAATGAAATATGGTCCCTGTTTCAGTATTCGGAGACGACGTTCTGGCATGGGCTAATGCGAATACACGTACTCGTTTCGTATTGCATGGAGAAGAGAATGAGATATTCGACGTCGAGCCCTACCTCGTGGTCAAGCACGATTGCGCAGGCGTACGTTGGAATTTCTCCTTTTTTCGCCCTTATTTTTTCCCTTATTTTTTTAGTGAAAGAAGTGATATCACTCTACTCTCATTAGATGTGAATGGCTTCTCTTTCATTCTAACATTCAGAAAGAGCTAGCGATCGTCTGTTTTTTCATACATTACCAGCGTACTGAACCCAATATTTCAACCTTAGCTTCCACTCTAGGTGTTTGAATGCTATGGATCTTGGTGACATATATAATTAGGGGTAAAATGTCTCCTCCAATCCAGAGATAGGATTTTTATACACTAGTTATAACTAGGGTCAACCCTACGTTGGCACAAATACCAACGGGGGGGGGATCGTAGTTTGTTGAAGTTTGTGGTGGGGGGGGGGGGGGGGGGTTCGTACTTGTTTCGGTAGCACGAAATAACACATGTAATGAGGTGAGAGCGCGTGGGAGAAAATTTGCCGTTCCAGCTTGCGTATACCGCTAGACGGTGTTTTTCTAGGGAAAAAGAATTTGTCAAGAAGGGGTCGTTTAAAATCTGTCATGAAGAAGGGGGGTCGTAAAAATTTTGCAAAAAGTCCCAACGATAGGACCGACCCTGGTTGGAACTGCTTATGTCGTGTAGTTGCAAACAAAAAGTCGTCTTTGTCCATGGCCATGCTCTTCACTCACATGATAACATTTTCCATAAATTCGCCCTCAATATGACTTGAGGAGGGTCTAGAGGATACCCGAAGCAGATCAATCATCAACTTGGAAAATCGTCAACCTTTCTGTAAAGCGGAGAACGCCACCAAGCTGCGCAGTGTAAAATAAGAAAAAGAAGGAAATGTAGCAAATGATTTTCCGCAGACAGTGGTCATTTTCAATCAGATGATGGAAAAGTTCTTCAACAGTTACAAAAGTAAGATGAGGAGGCAAACGCTGATTTTTATCTGGTATCTAGAACATTTGACCTAAAGTCCTTTTGCTCCATTAATCAGGTAAGTGAGCAGTCTTCAAATTCATTTTTCAACGTCTGTTTGATTAGCACTGAGTTAGAGCTTCGTGTTCCAGGATAACGAGGTACTCACCATAAACCTCGGAAAGTTAAGTGGCAGTCAAAGGTTCGAGCTAGGAGACATCAATTTAGCGGGTCCGAATTGGAAAGAAGAAATGAGGAACGATACTGTGCAATCAACTCAGGAACCCCTTTGATCTGTAGATCATAAATTCACGTTTGTGAAAATAAACGTACAGCATTACCATTCTGTTGAAACTTACATATCCAGCTCAGTTCCTCCTCCTTTTTCCTACAAGCGTCCAATACTTACCTTAGAATTCGCACTTACGTAGCTGCAGCAAGGCAAGTAGCCGTGAGCAGGCCGTGCCTAAGAACGACATGTGAAAAAGGGTTATGTTCAGCAGCGGAGCATAAAATACACCTCGACCATTGAGCATGAACCCTTTGCGTCTAAAACCTTTCACACATTTTCTTGCTCATGCAAAGACGGTGACATCTTTCATAGGATTGTCAGTAACCCACCTCGCTGCAGTACACTGGTGCGCGGCTTCGGTCTTGCCTCATCTCGCGGAAGAATAAGGCAGCATATTTCAGCCCCCCCCAATTCTCTCATCATCAAGCGCTCAAACTTTATGTCGACTAGCTGGAACTGTGCAGCTACTGAAAAGCACAGCGGCACAGGCCAATGATGGACATTAACTACAAGTGAATCGCATCTGAATTCCGATCACAGCATGCTACGGTCAGAATGGTTGGCTTCCACAAGCCATAGCAGAGGTGGTAAACTTTTAAAGGCTTAGCGACTTCAAAGCACATGCGGGTACATGGCACAATACAGAGCAGGCAGTTCTAGCGCACAGCACATCATATCCTATTGCTCAGAAGTAAACATATTTTATTAGAGGTATCTCGATGTTCAAAAATAAAATGAAATAAAGGAAGGTGCAGTTGCATGAAATGATTTGAAAATTTTAACAAAAGAAATGCTTCTCAGAATGAATTTTTCAGAGACATTCAGCATAGGCTAGAAGTCGCAATTACGTAGTCTCCCATGTCACTGGCGCACCTGCACAAAACAGTTCTGAAGAAAGTTCTAACCACTGAAAGGTCAAAAACCGCATGTGCTAGAAAAATGGCTCAGAAAGTGCATCTAAAAAGGTTTAAACAGGACCATTCTCTATGAGAGATTTTTAACGACGATCTTAAGAGAAATTTTCAGTGCATATCATGAGCCTAAATTTTGTTTTCTACCATGCAAATTTCACATTTAAAAAATAGCTACGCTAAACAAAATAGTGGTTTCTGCAATCCACCCCCCCCCCTGCATCCAACCACTTTTTGACACGACAAGTTTTTACCGTAACAAAATGAGCACATTTTTCGAATTCTTGAGATAAATGCATAAAACACACCTCCAGAGTTGTGCAGTTCCACTGTGCCCAACAGGTTGAGCTTCTCTAGTGTTTAGTGTTTCGCAAATCCTTGTCTTCAAGACCAGGAACGTGAAACGTAACGGTGATCCCGTCATTTTGACGTAGTTGTAACACTCCCAAAATTAAGGCAAAACCACCCCACAAAATAACCAAATAACCTGAAACTCCATTGGCCTCGAGCGGCTTCCTTGGCCTTGTCGGCAACTATGGGAATTGGTCCAGCTCTTTTTAAACCTACTTCGCGCCACCACACTCCGCTCAGAGCAGCAGTGGGCCACTTCTACAGGAGCTTCCAACGTAAACCGTTACGCGTCTTAGTGTATCAGAAAAATCGCCCAAGGATGCGGATGTCAGTTGGTGCAAACGAGCCTTATTGCTTCCTATTTTATACTGCAAAAGCTAAAAGTACTCCAAACTGACAGCTGTGAAGGCCTGGAATTTTCCTACTTATACTATCACCACACCTCTAGGAATATTTGCAGTGGTGGTTCAGAGGTGATGCTGAGCTACATATGGAGAAATGTCATGTTTTGAAAGGACTCGTAAGTTTTGTCTGGCTTCATAGATGACGCTTTGAGTCATTTAAACATCTGAGTGGTTCTAGTACATAACAGCGCCTCTTGTGCACTCTCAAGATAGTACGTCTTTGCTGTTCTTCTTACAATCCATTTTCTCTAGAAACTATCTTACTGAGAAACTTAATACCCATACCGTCACCTCTTATCAACTTGATGTCAGCTTTGTAATGTTAGGTCGTTCAGAAAGCTCTTTCGACTTCTGACCTTCTTTCTTCTCTTGGTTTCTTACTATACACTTCAAATATGCTTGTCTTGACCAAAACAACTTCAGAAGAAGTGGAAACATTTCAAGTGCCCTTTCCAACAGGAAAATAGTTTTACCGGTCTGACTGTGGGAGTGCTGGTGTTCTATCAGGCAATGAAAAGGCGAGCCAAGTGGGAAACCTTGTATCGGTACGCAATTATTGAATAACATAGGATAAGGAATGCGTTTCAAAATGTCATGCAGAGTTATAGCTAGTTGAGCGAATTAACAAGTCCGAAACAAGACGCCAATAATTGAGGCGTTCAAACTGCAGGATCCTTCTGTACTTGCAACCTTATATAGAAAATGTTTTTGTGAAAATTCTCAGCTATTCTTGGAGCACTTCAAATTTTGAACTTTGAGATCTTATTCACTAGTGACGCGACATACTAGCAGATACAAGACGTAATTTAGCACAATTTCTAAGCATCGCCTCAGTCTAAAACTAAATCTGCAGCGGTCATCACAGCTCCTAGGGACCACGATTCAAGTAGAGTGCAAGTAAACCTCAAAGAAATCCGTATTTCCTTTTTCCATTGAGATCTTTTTTCGCATTTTCCTTGAGATTCCTACTTCTTGCGGAACACATCTGACCCGTTTCGTTTTGAGTGTTCTGGCAATTTCTCAGATCACATATTATGGTTTTTTTCTACCGCACAACAGTCTAAAATTTAATGATTCCAGCGATGATCTTCGTGGTTCTACTCGCTTTTCTCCTCGCCGCGAATGCAAAGCAATTCACGGTGGAAGTGCAAGGAAGATTCAACTGCTCCACACTTCATCAAAACGTCCCTGTGTATATGGAGCTGAGAGAACGTGATCGTGAGTTATCGAGTTGTCAGTTTACGTTTGATATCCTTCAAATGATCCATTAAGTGGTGAGAGACGATCTGCTTGGATGGACCAATGTGATGCCACAGAACTTCTTCCACCTCAAAGGGACAGAGTACGAGCTGCTCAACATTGATCCCTACCTTGTCATTATGCATGGGTGCAAAGGCGTATGTGATTTGCTTTCTTAGATATTGTGGCTGATAGGTTTAGCTCTTCTGTGCCAAGGTTCTTTATTAACTTCTCCCACATAAGCTATTTCCCAATTTTTCAGTAAATTTTGACGATGCACCCACCCTACTAGCTGTGCTAACGCCGTTGCCATCCATAAGAAAATCTAGCGACCTCGATTAGTATTGCGGTAGAAGCGACGTTTGACATTATTTGAGGAAAGGGGCACATGGTACTTCAACTGCATAGTAGTGATGTACAAGATCTCCTATCCTTTCATCCGGTTTCAATTACCCACCTCCTAATAGGCAGTTGCCGCTCAAAAATTCCTTTGTGCTTTGGAAAAAATTATTCTAGGGCAGAGCTTACGGAGAGAGGGTAGCCTATTAGAATCAAGGAAGAAGTGGTCCGCGGTGCCGGGATGAAAAAAAGACCATGAGAAACAGCTCAGAACTCGAGAAAGGGGAACCTTACCTTGCCCGTTGATTTCCGCATTGATGCCACTTTCATCGAAGCTGCCCACTTCAACGCTAACGCTCTTCTGCTTAACGGCTGGAGGGTGATACAGCGAGAGGTAAGCGTACCGCGCCGATAGCGCCGCGGGGAGGGCTATACTAGTTCGCCGGGGCACATCCTTCACTGCGAATTATGTGTCCATCCGCACCCTTAGAGGTCCGCTTGCATTCCCGCTAGGCGATCTTCCCTTTCTTAACCTTGTTTTGGAGTCCCTTTTCAAGTCCCCGTTGCTGTTTCGAACTTATCTGGCTCATTTCAGCATCCCGAGAAGACTGTCGTTAACATCGGTCACATCTACAAAGACACCGTCATTGAATTTGGCGATCAAGATCTTGCAGATCCTACCTTACAGAAAAAAATGGAGGATAAGATCAACGTGCAGTTAGGTAGAGTTCCACACACGATGCATGAAAATCAGGCGATTTTTCATGGAATGAAATTGTAATTTTTTGTGTTCGAATAAATGAATTGGATGCAATTTCATTTTTTGCAAACCTTAATGTCGATACAGAATAACTTCATTGCATCATTAGTGGGTTTTGTGCTCACAATACACTCCCTCCATAACTTAAAGGGTTGCGCCATGCGTTTCCATTTTACGGTTTATTATCGATCGCATGAGATAGCTTTTATTTGTAGTTATCGCTACTAGCGAGAAGAGCTTTTCGTGAAACGGGCCGACATTTGCTAGCAGGCAAGGAGCATCTCCAATGGGGAGTGCATTCATAAAACTCACAGCGCTGTTCTGTCTAAAGGGAAGTCTGTCCAGAGAGGAAGAATTGATGGAGACAAGCATGTGTAAGCCGAGGCTACCCGAGAAGTCCGGGGAGCAATCCACCATGATCGGGGCTGCCCCTTGAGCGGGTTATGCTCCCGCATTGAAAGCATTCAGAGTTTGAGAAACATCAATATATTTTCCCATACCCCAAGATCTTACTCATGAGCTGAACTCACTAATAATAAGGTCAAAGCTCAATTGCCCTTGAAAGGCAAAAGTTTCCAGCCCAATTTTTCGAAATTTTGTCAATTCTCTCTCGAGAAGCGCAGCCCTATCCAGATCGCGTCAATTTCCAAAACGTGCTGATTCTCTGATATTTGACTAGAGCAGGGTGAAAATCGTGTCGAGTACGTGGACGCAGAAGTACGACCCCCCTCCCGAAATCGAGATCCTGGCACGACCCCCCAAAACTGAGCAAATTAATTCAATTAATTAATCAAAAAAAAACTTGCAAAATGAATCAAAAAAAATCCTGCAAAATAATGTTATTGACGCCTCATCTTATCATCTATGCACTGTCTTTCATCGCTGCACACTTTTGTGTATTTACTGAAATATCGACTCGAGGAAAGAGGCATTAACTTTGTGTGACCTCAAAGTCGGGTTCGGGCGGTTTTTTGCGATGAAAGTGGAGGCTGTGGAGCGGATCACTCGACATTCCAAACCTAATCTCTATTCACCTTTGGACCCCCTGGCTTATTATTCCTTTTCTAACAATATAAAACATGCTGTATTTCAAATAAAGAGAGTCCTCAGGACAGCATTTCCAGTGGAGAAATCAGAGACTGCAGGGCTTCATTTGTACGAATCAAATGAAAGCTTTGGCTGGTGTCAGAGCCGCGTCCCGTCGCGCGATTCGCGTATTTGTTTGTTGCGGGCGCAAAACATGCGCAAAATTCATAAGTGCCCATTTCAACATTTGTAACAATGAATATGCAACAAGTAAAAACATGAACAGACGTTATTCAACCATCACCATCAAACAGAAATGACGGCGGGATTGTGGAGCAGCTCGCGGTATTGACCGGGGCACTTGTGATTTCCGTGACCTGTCGCGCGATTCGCGCGAATTGGGCGACGGATCGCGGACTCTGACACCAGCTTCACAAAAGAGTGAGTCAAATTGTTCTTGTGCTAACGGTTATTCCCGTTTGGATGTACTTTGCATTGTTTCATTCCAATACTTGATTGAGTTTCGAGCTGAAAAGCCTAGCTTACGGTTCTGAAACCTCTCAAAGACCATCCAAAGCCGCCACCTTCACAGCAATTATATGATATGAAGATGATCACAGAAGTGGTCCCGTGGGGATGCATAACTAAGCGAAATATAATATTTTGATAAGAACTAAAAGTTTTGTCTGGTCTTATGAACGACTTTCTGAGTCAACTTAAACATCTGGCTGGCACAAAAATATAAAATTGGCTAGCTTCTCTCACCAACAGCCCCTATTTTCTCTCTTGAAGGAATTCCCTTTACCTGTCCAAACTACATTGACCCATTGATCACCTCAGAAAGTTATCGGAATGATTCCCTCCTCACCCTACACTCTGCACATTTCCACGATCCTCTCCCGGTAAATGTCAGTAGTATTGCTGAACTTATTATACCCTGAAAGTGTTTCGGAAGTCCAACTTCGTCCGCAACGTTCCTCCAAAAAATGCCTACCAACGGGCTGGAGTGGCGGAGGGGATGGAGGTGCAGGGAAGCTGTAAAACAGCTACGTCCCTTCTCACTACTCTCCTGGCGACCACCTGAATACCCATTGAGTACGAACAACTTACTGGGGAATGGGGAACCCTTGATCTTTTTTCACCTAGCGAATGTGCTTGCGTAAGCAGACTTTTGGCTTTATCTTTTAGCTCTACACAATACACACTATAGCATGGCTCGGTTATTTGGGTTTATGTCTACATGTCTACAGTATCCCCCATACAAAATATAATACTTTATTGGATATTTGAGGTCTTCTTGCGTATTGTGACGAATAATTTCCAAAGTCATTCTGGCAAAATTTTCATACATTGAGACGGTCTCGGACCAATCGTTGATTTTTTCGACGCTCGCATAGGGACCAGTGATTCAGAAGTTTGGGGACATGATGCTCCTCTATGCTCACTTCACATGGGCTAAACACAACATAGATGTAAATGTGAATACGAAAAATTTCCCTTTCTTGTTATCTTTGTGATTTTTGACTCTCCCGTGATACTTCTGCGCTGTAAAAATTCCTACTGAATATTTTTATCGTTTGGTTCACAACTTGATTTCTCAACTCTCACTCACCCTTCAGTGCTAAAGTGATATTTTGAGCGATGATCTACGTCATTCTTCTCGCTCTCCTCCCCGCCATCAATGCGAAGCAAATCACGGTGGAATGCAAGGAAGATCCTTTGCTTACGGAGACACGATAACTTCCATCCAGTGCATATTGAACTTAAAGAACGTGAACGTGAGAGAGTCGCGTTTGTCAGTTTACGTTCCATGGCATTCAATCGGCTGCGTTCGTGCTGCAGAGACCGATGTGCCTTGGATGGGTCAATGTGGCTGCCGGTGGACTTTTTCCATCTCAAAGTGGGCCAGACGAGAGCCTTGCTCAAAAAACAAAAAAAAATTGATCCCTTACTCGTCCTCATGCTATATGTGCAACGTGCGTATGTTTGTCTATACTTTGGTAAATGGTTGCAGCCGCGTTATGGTGTTTTTATTATTAAATATTGCTGCATCACTTATCCCTTGTTAAGCTTGATCACAGCTACCGTCTCGACGTTTTCGAGCAAGTTGCGCACGCCTCTTCCAAACATTTGTTTGCAGCTATCTACATCGCCCTCAAAAGCAACTACAAATACTCACTGAGTGCCAATAAGGGTTTAGGTTCGGATACGAATTGGCTTGAGGTGATTGGGATTTGGGTTGGTGTAAAAGTCCACAATTTAATCAAATCATGGGTACAGGACAATTTCTGGCCCACTCATTCATTGATGCCAACCAGTCAACCCCTCGCTGCGCAGTTTTATCCCACGGGCCACGTTGCGCAGCTTTCGCCCGATTAGAACACGTTCTCTCGAAGCGAACAGTTCACACTCGCATGTCCTCGAGCCGCTGCCATCTCCTGCCGCCCATACAGCGGTGCGTTGAAGGATCTCTCATGCCAAGTTGCGTAAACTGCAGGGTTTGACTCTGTGCCCCACCCTTCTGCACCTGCGCTAGATTCTCCTTTAAACTTAACCATGGTGGAATTGGCTATTACATTACGGTGGTAGTTTGAGACGATGAATATAGCATTCTCGCGACATGAAGAGGTGTGGCTCCCACGCCGGTGCTCATGCATACGTTGGCGCAGGCGCCTCTACTGCAAGTTACAAAAATTTCAGAAACGATTAGTTCACATTTCAGGAAACATCAGATCTCCTTTCCATTTCTGATAGATTGTCTAATTTGGTAATTTATTTCAGCATCAAGAAAAGGTTGTAGTCAATTTTGGTCACATCGATAGCGACGTCTTTATCGACTTCGGCGAGCAATTCCTGGACGATCCGGAGTTCCAGAAGAAGCTGGAGGACATAGTGAACAAGAGCATTTGAACTTCACCCTACTTTCCTTCATGGTATCAAGCACCAGGTTAATCGTTGATGCTACATATAAAAGAGATGGTCAAACTCAAGATGTGAGTGTGTAAGGAGATATAAAGGGATATATAAGATTATCTCATTTCTGTATTCATTTCATCCATTTCATTCATCTTGATTTTGGGAGCACATTCACCGCAACACATTCGACTTCCTGACCATAACCCCACCCTTCAACAACTCTGAGAGGGTTTGACTTCGAGCGCAGACGTCGTCTTCCCTTTTTTAATGCGATGTGCGACAGTGTGATGTTTCGCGAGTCTGCCAAGTGGAACCTTCCTTTATTAATACTTGGAAAAGGAAATGCGCCATAAGGTTGTTGACTGTACGCCTGTCTCAAAATACTGCCGATCACTCGTAAGGAAACGTCGTAACACCTATTCAGCCTTGAGAAAAATCCCGCAGCCCTAAGAAACTCCAATTGTCTCCTCCAAAGATCGTAACATTGAGGGATCCAGATCTTTCTTTGTGAAAAGTTGTGTTAGCATATGGCTGACTGCAAGCAATACGTCTGTTGAGCAAAGTCAGTGATTACAAGGTTTACTTCAGAAAATCACTTCGAATAACCCTTGGGTAGAGTGCACTCTGAGAAAGAACCATAATTGTAGGTATTTCAATAATTCTCTGATTAATATGCCATCCCAGTAACATCGAAAACCCGCACAAAGGGTTATTTTCATGCTGCATCACCGCGTCGAGCCGCATTGTACCACGCGGCAAGAGTGCGTCCCGCGTGGAGTCCCCATTGGTCCGGGCAATCTGCCATAGCATCGATTCCGACAAGAGAGGTGGTAAAAGCGTACATCGGTGAAAAAGCCATTTTAGCCATAGAATGAAATGACAAGGGTAACCTACTAGTGGTAGACCGCGGTCTCAGTGAAAGATATGATAAGATATGAGAGCCTTCCCGCAGCTCTTTTTTGATTAGATATAAGTGTCTTTCCGCAACTCCACCTCGATTGATAAGGTGCCCCCCCCGAACTACATTTTCACCGCGTACATCTCTTAAGGTTTCATGATTACCCTCTGAATCGTTTCGTCAAAGCCTTGAAGGCTATCCTGATTCCACAGCGGGATTTTTGCCCATCTGCAACTTTTCACATTCCTATAAAGTTCAAAACATCAAAGAATCTCAAAACATAGACTCGAGAATAAATTTCTGACGTTTCCCCACTTTTAACACTTCAGGTTTATAGCAGTGAAATTCTTCTTTAAGAAATCAATCCAGGGAATTGTGCCTATTTTTTTCTGGAAATTAGTGATGATATCATGCACGTCAGTAGGAAGCATTTATTCCGCTATTCCGTGTTCTTGGTGTAAAGCATTTTCGCATCCATGAATTCAGCACTGTGGATAAGCTTTCAAAATTGATTTCAAATTTGTCGTCGGCGCCAACGTTAAGTCGACATCTTCGCGGGCCACCAGAGCGATTATTTTTTTGTGTGTACCTGAAATAGAAAGCATTAAACATCGGAGAGTGGCAATTATTTCAAAGATAAATGTGAGGCTGTTTCATGAGCCAAAACCTCGCAAACTTGCTGCCTCGATGAACCAGTAACCCTGCCTAACCCTTGTTTCGTTGGGTTTTTTGTTCATTCAAGTTCCGATCACCAAAAATATTTAGATTCAATAGAATATTGAGTCCCGCGTCATATTCGGAATACATTGCACTTTTGAAAAGACAGAGCACTGAAAAGGTGGTACCGGACAGGAAGCCCGTCGCGCGGCAAAAAGGCAGAGTCAGCGGACGAGTCGCAGCGCGTGGTATGCGTAGCACGTACAATGGTACATTCTATTCAACTTGACCCGAAATCACTACAGTACGCGTCGCGGCTCGTCCGCTGACTCTGCATTGTTGTCGCGTGACGGGCTTCCTGTCGGGTTTCCCTGAAAAGTCGGTCACAGTTCGGTAACCATGTGCTGGAATGCAGTTCCGATAACGATTTTTATTTTAATAACAACTCGCTGAACCCAGTAGCCCGCGGTGTGGTCAGACCGCCTCCTAACCCATCACCCTAACGATGCCCTAAACAAACTCCGCCTCCCAGCCATCGCAATCAGTCCTTCAAGTTGGCAACGATATAAACTAAAAAAGAAAAGTGTCTCCAATCAAAAAGAATGAGTGATATCGTCAGCTCACCTTCATCTTTCTCCATATCCGTGAATGCATCTCGTGGGTTCGACAACGTAGTGTATCGGTAGAGAAGAACAATTTTGTCGGTTTTCGCTTCACCAGGATCCCGGACAATCTAAAATTTCATATTCAATACAACCTGTAGACTGATCCATTAAATGAAAAGTAAGAGAGCCAATAATGGTTTCAGAAGAGAACTCTGCAAAAAACAAAGCTTTTGAAGACTTTTTTTCGATGTTTCCTTTATTTGCAATCCTATTATGTAGCCCGACGGGCCCACAATCAAAACTATCCCAGCATATCTTACCATCGTTGGAGGAGTGTTCTTGGAAGTACACTTCGCATTGGTTCAGATGAATCCCTTACGCCAATGATGCTGTTGCACTTATGATCGCAGAAGTATGGCCACTCTCGCGATCGAAATGCGTGACAAATGCGCTAGGTAGTTATAACCTTCAAGACCACTTCAAGAAAGCGCATCCACTCATCCTTGCACTGTCTGCTACACACTCGCCCGCAATAGTGTCTCTCCAGGCTCGTCTGTGCTCTACCCTCGACGAACGTTGTCTATCAGACTGCCTGTCCCAGTCTATGTCGCATACTCGGCGTGAGAAGAGATTAAGTTAAGTGTTTTAGGCAGTTTATTTCGATTTTTTCTTCTATGGCGAGCCAACTTTCATCTGATGATATGGCGAGTCAACTGTCATCTAATGCGCAGCATTTTGATCTCCGTCATCCCTCTTAACTTCTCACGAAAGGCTCCCCGAAGACGTAAGCGTTCCCACTGAACAACGATCAGTCATTGGGACAGCAGTTATCTCCGAAAAAAAAAGAAAAATATCCAATTTTTACACTCGCTGTTTGAAAGATTGAGCGGTCGATGTGGGTCATTATTGAGACCGATAATGATAAACAAGACAAAGCCATTAAAAAAACTTCCAAGAAGGAAGGGAAAATTCAAGAACTTCAAAAAGTCCCACCACCTGTAATCTCTGCGATCCTCCAGGCTCCAGCAGGCAGTACACAGGCGAGACACGGAATATCTCATTGTTGCTACATTTAATTTTAATGGCCATCCTGAAAATCGGAAAATGAGCAGAATTGAATTTAAAAAAAATGAAAAAAATTGAAGCAGAACAAAATTTACTTACTTATTTATTTGATGCACGCATAGGTGCACTATACCATAATCATATTAATACTGCATGTGAAAAATTTTCCGCCGTTATGTTTTGTTGTTTTTTGTTTAACACATGGGATCATAGCTATGTAATAAACAATTACAATTACAACTACAAGTTTGATCGACCTTGACTCGTTAGGAAAAGAAGCTACCACTCTAGATAGGCGGATGGCGCTAGGGATAACGCCACTCCTAGACGAGCTCGGAGCATACGTACGGAATCCGAAACTGAATTTTCGGCTGGTAGGTATCCCCTATCCAGAAGCGATGGCTAGACAACCTGAAATACGACATGAATGCTGCGGACCTGTCTGCAGCCGATGCATGGAACCGGGATCGCTGGAAAACATAGGTGGAAAAAGCGTACCCGACAAGGGTTGGACAACAACGCTAAGAAGAAGAAGGTGTTTTCTACCCCTAACGATTCAGTTTCGAACCCGCCTTTGATCAATTCAGTCTAGAACAACCATCAAGACTCAATTAAATATAGCTTTTTCAGAAGAAAAGAAGATTCGTAGATACTCGCAATCATCATTAGAGGTCCTTTCCAAAAAGCTAAGGTCAATCAGTATACACCGCGGTGCACAACAGATTGCACCCTACAAAAAACTTAGTTTTCGAAAGAAATCGAAACGTTTATGGATTCTGCTGTTGATATATTTTCAGGGGAAGTAGATAAATAATATTGACGCAATAATCAGTTGAATACAATGTCTTTGGAAATTTTTAGAGTGAAGTATTGATTTTTTGGCGGTGCACAGTAGATTGGACGACTTTAGATATTTGATTTTTCCGACCATTTCTTTCATGCTTTTGAAATTGAACGCACTCGCGTATTATGCGGATTACACGCCACTCGTAAACGAACTCTGGATTCGAACTGAAGCGTTACATCGCCTCGGCAAGGGTTATCTCCATATCCTTAGGAACCCAATACTCCTAGGAGTACAGTTGCAACTGTGATCAAGAATCATTCCCAAACTGTTCTGACGAAGAAGGAGGTACGGAAACCAACTGTTTTGAGCGCGGCAGGCGCCGTGTAATTAATTGGGCATCGAGTTCCACAAAGATTGCCTATGAATTGAGTGCCTGATTGCGAAATTTTGGTCTCGAAATGGACCGTGTCCCGCATTTTGGAAATATTGGACCGTACAGTTCGACAATAAATGAAGCCGACATTACGCCTGCCTCAATGTCATTGACATAAGCAGCTCCCTCTTGCGAGGAATGAGATAAGAGGGATTGAGCACGGGGTGTTGTGGACGCATTTCCAGCTTTATGTTCAATTTAATTTCTCATCTGTATTTTTCCGGAGGCAATCTCTTTCGAACACATTTTGTTTAGCGGAGAGGGGTCGTGTTAACGGCACTCGAGCTGGCGCTCCTGCAAGTGAATCACTGCTGGTGTCTCGAAGCAACATGAGGCGGCTTCTCCTTAATGATTTGTGGGCATTCTGTAGTGAGGGGAGTCTTGAGATTCATATTGATTCTCATAAATGAGAAGCCAGGGCTATTAGTCACTTCTCAAGAATGCGTCGGTACCATTCATTGCTTGAAACCTCAACAAGCGATTTATCCTCGTGCAAATGAACGCTTCGAACCACGCTTCGTGAAGTACTCGGCTCCACTTTCAATCTAATAACAACCCATTATTGTCATGGCCGGCATGTTATCCTGATACAAACCCTATCCGGAATATATAAGGTATCCTAACGCGTAAGATCTGCGCAAATGGAAAAGCATATGACAATGTTAGGTCACTTAGAAATACCATTACGAAGAAGTGGAAAACTCTACCGCCTCTGCTGCTTAGAATGAGCCGATTCATAATCTGATTCCAGTTCCAAGGTCACTGAGAAGAAGGGGCGCTCCACTCATTATTAGATGAGGGCGTAGACTTTACGTGTTGTGTTTCGATCCACAACACATATCGTTTAATCTATTATGCACCGGATCAAAAAGTGAAAAATTATTATCACAAACTTTGGAAAAGTTGTAATGTCAATAAATACCACAGATATTATTCTTTTGTCTATTCCTAAATTATAGTATAGGCAGAAGCAGCAAAAGTTCCAGGCCCTCACGAAAATAAAGTTTTCTATGGGGTGCAATCTATTGTGCACCGCGGTGTACAACCTGTGGGTTCAATAGGATTAGCGATCAGTGGAAGCAACTCGAAGCGACTGGTTTTGAGCTAATGGTGAACCAATCGGATTCTCCTGGCTATACGTGCTGAGTAGGATGATGGGATGGGGACCCCAGTGAAGAATCGGCCCCAGTCACATATATATTTTGAAACAAATTGCTATGTGAAGCAGCAATCCTAGGGCACTCTTGAATAGCTGGAGAGCCCGTAATCATCAGAGCGAGTTGGAATGTATGAGCCCAATTATTTTTAGAGTCTGTCTCATAAAGCCACCATCGGTGCGTTTTCTTATGCATGTCTGAAGGCTTGCGAACGGCGTTACCGTTGCCTTCTATCCATTTACCATCGATATGTCGTTGACGCACCACCCTTTGGAGCGAAAAAGTACAGACAGCGTGGGTGTAAGAAATAGTGAATGGTCCTCCGAGCTCGTATAGCATTCTAGTTTGCACTGAAATCGGGTTCAAAAAGTTTAGCCGTGTTTATGCATGGCAGTTCTTCACTTCAGCCTACAGCACGTTTTATATTCTGGAGGCGTCGTCAGATCTTCGCGTACGTAACGAGTCGCTCGAGCGTACTAGCGCATTGTCTCGATTCGCAAAATTCTGACACCGGCCTCATGGATAGGTAAGTGCTTGCTCAACCTTGTAATTTCATGGTAGCGTTACAGTGCGCTACGACGACTACGAAACTCGATCGTAGAACAGGCTCTGTACGATGCGATGAGAGAAGCAGGAAGATATATAATTTAATAAGGCGATCAAAGGCAAGGCCCAAGAAGACTATTTTGGTTGCGCAAGACGCGCTCGATAAATTGAAGATGGAGGCAAAGAGTGGGCAAAGTGAAAGTTCAGACCTATAACGAATTACTAACATAGTGATCCATCAACCTTTATTATAGGCTGCACGAAACTGTTAAGACAGCGAACAGCTGAAACCAATAAGAATTTTCATTAGAAAGAATTCCAAAAAGGAAGATGTATAAGACCATGAGGAAATCAAAAGATAACTCAATACATCATTTCGAGGAGAAGCACAGCAAAGTCATGCGAAAAACAAAAAATAGTTAAGTCGCATGTGTCGGGTGTTGGTAGCGGTGCGGAATTCAGAAGCGAGCAAGGAGATAGAAAACGCGAGATGAGCACGCCGCGCGAGAGGCGTCACAGAGACATGGCAGCAGCGCGCCCAACTTACCGAGACGCTAGCTAGGTATCGAGGGGCACTGGTAAGGCCCTTGTGCCCTGTGTCGCGATCTTTCAAAGGTGTGTCAGTTCGCGCAACGCAATGTTCGCAAACATCTGTCATGGAATATGCCAAAAGGGGTACTCCAGTCGGATCTTATGCCGAACCCTTGCATTACAATTTCTGCAGGGTGCATATTTCGAGTCTTTTGATGGTTGCAAAATATTTTCTGCATATTTGGTGAACACCGCACTCCGTTATAGTGAGCCGACCTCAACCACTCACCTGTAGAGCGGGACGCCAGCACATGGAAACGGACGAGGTTTCACTGCAAGTATTTACAAACGACGCTTCTCATTTGCTCTGCCAACCACAACGACGGCTTCAAAAGAGGTGCAATACTTGCAAAATGAAGAAGTCTGAGACCTTCATGGCCAGTGACCCAAAGGCCTCGCCAGAAAGTGCTAGCGACTGGACTCTCTTTTGCCTATCAATATTCCAGCCAAATAGGAAGCGATGTGACGGCCATAGGCGCGATGAAAGCGCGACTACATAGCAAATGACATCACCTAGTCCTAGGAAAGCCGCAGAGATTTAACATTAGCCCCCAATGAGGATTGTTATATGGAGTAGGGAGGAGGTTGGGGGAGGAAATCCAATCATCCCGAATTCGGTGGCTTTTTGGGTCTAATCAGTAACTAAACCGAACCTAGAGATAAATCATCTCATGTCTGCATCTGTCAACGACGGGAACTCGCAGGAAAAACAACAGAACCATTGCAGATCTAATAGGGCCATAAAAAAAAATACGGTAGACAAGCTGAACAATCGGCCCAAGAGCTAACCGGTGTTTTGTGCCAAAACAAGCCTAGTGCTTTCCCGCGCTTCAAAAAGCACAAACGCCCACACGACCAAGTACAGAAAGTGCTAGCTTTATCGCATTAACATTACACGCTGCGCTAGCACGACACATCGCGAATATTTTGTGTCGAGGTGAATAGGACATGCCTCATCTTCTTGGCCACCCTAATACTACCCCTCATAAGAAAAAAGTAGGCTAAATCATAAAAGAAGGGGAAGTGACTGAGCGTTAGAACTCTACATCACCCATGAAGGGTCGTTTCCTCCGCTTAACCTTATAAACAGCGTTTGCAGTTCTCTCAACATCCTGCCAGCACCACACGCTTGATCGTGTAAATTATGCGTCTGGCTATCCGGCCTTGGCTACTGGTACATCTTTCGGAAACAAGTGGCTTTACGGTAAGTCTATAACACGCCCTATGTTCGATATGAGGTGTCTCGACATTGCGCAACGATTTTACAATTGGAAGATAGTCGGATAGCGTGGCCGCATACTGATCGAGACTGAAGGACCTTGTTAACCATTTCTCTGAATACGCGAATCGTTCCAGACTAATCAAGGTAGGCACACGAAGAAGATAGTTACAGCATGATCGTAACATGTGAACATATCGCTAGGTCAGGGACCTCACGAATGAACTTTTGACATGATAGTTTTTCCAAGTACGTACGATTCTTGGTTGAGATGCGCCTAAGAACCTTATGAAATGCGCACATGCGGAGCTTAAACAATCTTGGCGTTGAGACAGAATCCATACAACAAGTTGTCTAAAGTGGACAAACTGTTAAAGAAAATTGTCAAATTGCAGGCCGTGTCCCAGTTACTGAGAGCAGGGTGAAAATAGCGCTCAAAAGGAATGTGGAGCAGACGAAAGATCTCAAGTCCTGATCATGCAAGGAAGCCGCGTAAAGAGGCCAGAGGCTACACATACCCCCCCCCCCCCACCCTCCTAGGATCACCATAATTCTGAGTCTATCACTAGTGCATGTAGAATAGTCGTTAGTGCCCCACTATGCTTTTATTCCTTAATTTTTCGTTTTTACAAGACATGGTGCAATAGAAGATGGTGCTAAGGTCGTTTTATTTCATAAGTACTAGGCATCCGGAACACGAAGATATTGAATTGCTTAGAATTTTGGTGAAAATTCAAATAAATCAATAAAATTTCAACATTCACCGTATGTGAAATAGAACGGTACCTTGGAGTCGACAGGAGATTAGTTAATGTATGGAACTAGTGAACCTATTTTCTTCATGAAACAGGTGTCACCACATGCAAAGCCACATGACGCTGAGGATGCGAATTTAGGAAAAGTAGATAAGGACACTGAAGTATTCAGTATATTTATAGTATACTTATTATGAGTTACAATATTAGAACCAGCCATCGAGCGAGGACCGTCATTACTGGGATCCCTAAGGGAAACATGAAAATAATTCAAGTGACCTGACATGAGTCAGGAATCTTATCAAGGATTGAAGTAGCGATAAAGTCCTTTTTACTGATCATCTCGCCATCATTAGTTACATAAGGAAAAATAACTTATCTACACAATCGTACTTCACTTTATGAAAAAACTAATCAAGTAGATTAGATCAAGAGGAAGACAAAATGGAAGGTTGAAAGTCGCTTCCTCTTGGGCTTCAGTAACTTTCTGGAGGAGTGCGTGCAAATCAACAATCTTGTCTAGAACCAGAATGAGCAGAAGTGCCTGGAAAATGCAGGCCTGCATACATTAAGCTATGTCCGGGAAAGATGAGCAGAAAATGAGGGCCTGGTGAAAAACTATCACATACGGCATTAGCTGCTAGTCTGCGTATATGTTGCTTCATATCAAATTTGAAAGAGGAGAACCAGTATTTTAGACTTACGTGCATATAGATATCCGTAGGGATCGAGAAGGCGCAACGGACATTCTTAAGCTGCACTGCGTCATTTCTTCATAACTTAAGATAGGACAAGGATCGATATTGAGTTTTGAAGTCATGCGGACAATAATTGGGATCAACCGACAATCGAATTAGCTGTCTTCTCGACAGCGCCTGCAGGCTTTGTTTCGTCTTCGTAAGTCGACGTCCCAGCGGCGGGCCCACAAAAGAGTGGCTAAGGGTGGCGACTCAGCGGCTCGCGGGATCATATCGGCTCAAACGTTCTTCATGACTTTACGCTCAGAGAAGTTATGATTTAGATGTTGGCTGTTGTTGACGGAATGATGAAAGCAAGGTTCGATAATTATATAGAAAATCAGAAAGTTTCAAACGTGAATTAACAAACGGAGGGACAAGCCGCGGGACAACACAACGGTCGCCGCCACAAATTGCTCAGCACCAGGAAGGGAACTTGTTTTGTTCAACTTGGAGTTTTTGGAAGATTTTCATCTTCCACAATCATCTTTGGCATATATCGACGATGGATGGCACACCTACTAATATTGATAATTTAATGATGAATGAGTAATTACTAATTAACACATTCACGACGGCCCCCTTTCCACTTTCCGGTGGGACGGACGCGATTTTGTGGGCGCAGCCGCCTAACACTATCCACAGATGTTTTACTGTAAATTAATAAAAACATGAATGTCACAAAATAATTTCACCAATGTTCAATATGTAAAGATTATCTGAACATATAATAGTAGGATTTTGATCAAAACGCATGCTAAACTACATTACGAGATTTAACCATTTATTTCCATTCATAGCGCTGGCCAATGATGATCAGTTGGCACCCCATATGAGCTGCCATCGTCCCACGATTACAATTTCTTGGCAGGCCATATAGGCTGTGTTAAAAATTGTAAGAAAGGATGGGTATATGCACACAGAAGGGTTGTCATCGAATGCGCTTTATCATCGAAAAAAAGAAAATTTTAGAAAAAAAAAGAAGCTGACATCTTCTTTACTCAAGAAAATCAATATAAATCCCGTTTGAACCGCTTCGACCTCAGATTTGTCATGGATTGCTGAATAATGTTCAGGACGAAGAAAGCTTCCACAGGAATGAAAGAACATCTGCACTGAGAAAAGCTCATTCCTCAACGCAGAGGTTTAGCACGGGACCCAGGTAGATTGCTGGTACTCTATGAATGGTTAATGCGTGCGGGGAGCTCACATAAAAACGCCGAAAACCAATGAATGCCATTTCAAGAAATCCTCGTAGAAGCTATTTCATATTAGATTTACGGCAGGTGACCAGGAAGGGAAAAATTGCTTCTAACCTCTCGGCCTATGGGCTCGCTCTATATGATACCAGAACATTTAAAGTTTGTAAGGGGATTTTAAACGTGAACTT